CCTCTCTGGAGAGACTCACCTCGGCAATTCAAGTCAAACGTAATGACACTAGTCTTGCAAGTGGACACCTAGGATGGCATGCACTGATGTAAAAAAAACCTAAAAAAAGTGGAGGTCAACCAGGTGTTCACACCTACCCTAAAGCATAAGGATAAAAGCAGCAGTAGGTTAATGGTTGCGCTTGATGATCTCAAAGGTCTTTTCCAGCCTAAATGATTCTATTCTAGCCTATGATTCTACAAGCAAATTTTTATTTAGTTATTAAACGATACACAAGGAATGTGGCCGTGGCACACAAGTATAAAAAGATGAGGAAAGGAGTATGCATTTATACGAATAACAGAAAATCTACAGTTCTATTAGGACAAGAACAAGAATCTTCACATTTCAGGATACCAACACTATGAAGTTACAATATTGAATTTCTTTTTGCTATTACACATATATACTGCTTTGGAAGAACAGACCTTATTTTTAACTGGAATATTTACAGTTTTCTGTTGTATCCTAACAAACAAGTCACTGTTTCCACCTAAGGCGTTTCAATGCAGAATAAAGATGTATCCCTACTACTTCTTAGCAGTCTCCCTATTTACAGTTTTCAGATGTTAGCACAAAGGAGTCTGATGAGAGCATAATTTCTTTATCTGAGCAATCTGGTATTGGCCTCCATCGGAACAAGGTTACTAAATTAGAGAAGCAATTCCTATGTTTTCACATCTGTTCCTCTTAAAATTTATGTATAATTCAATACATACATAAAATACCTTATGAAGTCTCCTTCCAATGTGTAAACATTTGTTGTCAACTGAATAATTTTCTGCGACTGCCATTGGATTTATACTGGCTCCCTCTGCTGGCTGAAATCCATCAAGTGTCATTTAATTAAGATTTCTTTCCCCTCCACTCTTTTCTATAAATTGTGGCAAGTAAAGAACTGAACCAAAGACCACGGCATGGCACAGAAATAATTTATTTTCTAATCCACCCAGGAAAGTTTGACAGTTCAAACCTGACTACAGCAGTATCAATATTGCCAACCCAGAGGATTAAAAAATTAAAAAAGCGATACATTATAGAAGGGGGGAAAAAAATATATGCCCTTTAGAAGGAAAACGGGCATGCTGGTATGCTGGTGGAAGAAAATACAAAAGAAATACCATTTGGGTGTACTGTTTAAGAAGAAAAGTTCACTTTAAAAACTTCATTTTAAGCTAAACACGAGCCTGCAGCATGCACTTGCAGCACAGCATCAAAAGCAGCGTGACCAGCAGGTCAAGGAAGGCGATTCTCCTGCTCTGCTCTGCTCTGGTGACACCCCACCTGGAGTACTGTGTCCACCTCTGGGACCCCCAACACGAGAGGGACGAGGACCTGTTGGAGCGAGTGCAGAAGAAGCCACAGAAAAGATCTGAGGATTGGAGCACCTCTCCTGTGAAAACAGGCTGAGAGTTGAGGGTGTTCAGCCTGGAAAAGAGAAAGCTCAGGGGACACCTTATAGCAGTCTTCCAGTTCCTAAAGGAACCAACAAGGAATCTGGAGAGCAACTTTTTACAAGGGCATGTAGTGACAGGACAAGGAGGAATGGCTTTAAACTGACAGAGCAGGGACTTAGATTAGATATTAGGAAGAAATTTTTCCTATGAGGGTGATGAGGCCCTGGCACAGGTTGCCCAAAGAAGCTGTGGCTGCCCCATCCCTGGCAGTGTTCAAGGCCAAGTTGGACACAGGGGCTTGGAGCAACCTGCTCTAGTGGAAGGTGTCCCTGCCCACGGTGGGGGGGTTGAAACTAGAGGATCTTTAAGGTCCCTTCCAACCCAAACTATTCTGTGATTCTATGATTTTATGTCCAGAATTTTGAAGAAGATTTGGGAAAGTATTTTGGCACTGGTTTTAACTATTTTTAGTTAGTTTCTAACTCTTATATATTACATTCAAGTAATACCTAAAATATTTTAAAATATACTGAAGATTTTCAGAAGTTCTTTGATAGCAGTTCAAAGACATTTTTTGTGACAAGTTTATGGGAAATTGCAGCATGAATTACTCTAACTTTTAGCAATGAGTTAGTTTGGAAGATGGGAATTTCTTTAGTATGCTAATATCTGCACTCATACAGAGCTGCAGAAAAGCATCAGTTAACTGCTCATCTTCAAATCATAGATTACTTTTCTCTTACAAACTAATTCTCTATCCATCATGAGAAGTAGTATACCCGAAGAAACAAATAGCTCACAAGCATCTCAAACACTGTAAAATTGCCCAACTGATATTTGTTTTTCCTGCTCTTACTTCCAATGTATTGATTTTAACTTTGATATGAAGAAGAACTATACTAAAGGTTTCAGTCACAAGGCAGAAGTTTTAACCTAGCCTTGACTACAGAATTTGGTATTTGTAAAGGAGATAAACTTCTCTACCTCTTTCTTACTCTTCCTAAGATCTCAGCTGAGGATAAACTGACCTTTTTTCCCCCCTAACAAACTGAGATGAGATGTCAAATTCCTCTGAATTCAAGTTCCTATGAAATCACGCTAGGTTTTGTGTTTTATTCACCCCCTCCCCAGTTCTGTGGTCACTTTAGCTGCAAATGATAAAAGTATAAATCAAAAGAACAAGAGCAGTAAACTGACTACAGCATGTAAAATTATTGTATTGGCTGTAAGACAAAATGCACCCAGGGCTTGTAGCTAAGAGCCAACAGTTTTTCCCCTTAGTTCCAAAGATACTTATCTTTGGTACTGTGCAAATTTCCTCTTGCCAGAGAGTCCACTCTGGTTATGAATGAAAAGTCTGAGACAAAGTTAACAAGCTCTGACACTCATTCATTTTTTTCTCAGTGGTTTACAACTTAAACATGGGTTTAAATAAGTGCATATAAAAATATAAAAATATTTATCTCATATAGTATTGCCTCCATTTAGTCTTTGTTCCACTCAGACAGTTCCTTCCAGAATTATTTAAATTTGGGTTATTTTGAACAGGGAACCAGAATATAAAACACAGAAACAGTCCCCAGTGGAATTTCAGAATTACACATTCAATCTTTCCCATAAGGCTCTTGTGATGATGACTGTAAGAAGTTTTACATATTGCAAGACTCTTTCACTCTTTAATGTGCAACTGAAGCAAGAAAACAATGCTTAAGATCACGCTCAGGTTTGCTCAATAAACATGACTTTACACACTGTACACAATACCACTATTCTTTCCTTATCAGTATGGAAATCCAGCTAGTCTTCCATTCTTTAGAGATAGACACATTTTCCAGTGCATAGTTAACTCGAAATTCATCATTCATTAACATTCTCCAGTAACATCTCAATTATTTTCTTGGGGAAAAAGAAAGAAGAGAAAAAGAAACAAGCCATCTACAATGCAATGAATCAGATTGTTACACGTTATATATTTCTAGATAAATGTCAATGAATATTTCTGTAACTTTCTTCCCAGTTATTAAAATCTTATTATTGCTGTTATTACTAATATTAAATCTGTGGAGAGGAAAAAAACAGTCTGTCGTTAAGATCAAAATTTCTTAAGGGGCATATTCATTAACAATAATTTCAATAATTAGATCACACCAAAGTTTGCAGAAATTCTATCCTGCAAGAGCATCAATGACATAATTTTGTGACAGATAAAAATCAAAATCTTTCCATCTGAATGCCTGAACTCCCGCTCAAGTAAAAAAAAACATTGTCATGAACACAAAACACTAAGAAATAGCATTATCTTAATGTAGGATTGTACATTTTTCTTTTGCATATACCTTGACTGTATTCATAACACACATATGGGAGAAAAACAGCAAACAAACAAGGTTGGATAAATCTGCAAGATTTCCATTTCCTGGTTACCAAAGAATCAGTTGCAAGCTGTATTCGACACCACATTACTCACACAACATCTGCAGAGGCAGGTATGTTTTCAAAGTGGAAGAAGCAGTGACCACATAGAGTGGGAAACACCCATTTAGGCAGCACAGACCTTGT